AAAATGTACCAGTAAGAACAAGATGTTCGATTGGACTTGATATACATATGGATAAATACGCTAATCGAATAGTCTCTGCAAAGAATATTTTGCAAAATTTCAGTTTTGGTAATTGAAATATTAAGTTGCAAATATTGTTTCGATGAGTATCATCCATCATATGCATAGTTAATGAAGAAAATTTGGGTAGAGAACTTAAACTAATGAGAAGGTTTTCGAGTTGTTCGGTTGGCATTTCGTCAAGAATTAATGTTTGAAGTTGAGAACATTGAGCAAAGTTTTCGGTTGTTGATAAAAAGAAATTAGTTATGAATGGATTTACAGCATAAAATGATTGGGTTCGGTAGATATTGGGCTGAATGAAATCAGTGTAATATTGTTGAAGTATTGATTTGGATAAAAATGAAGGAATGTTAATTATAAGAGGAATGGGTAAATGTTTAAGAAGATTTTGAAATCTAGTGTTAAGATTCAGAAAACTTTCGTAAATATGATAGGCATTTAGATATTCGAGAATATCGCAGATAACTTCATTGGAAAGATCTTCAAATTGTGTGACAATACATCTTAATAGATAAAACAAATCGAAATGATTTAAATCGATTATGACTTCGACACTGACTTCGTTTTATCAAGTGTTGTTGCTCGGAGTTTCTGCTTCTTACAATAAATGTTGTTATGAGAAGGTTGTTGTCGTTTATCGTTGCGACCCATAGCTAGAAGAGTTTGGAAAGGAATGTGATGCGCTTAATAAAAGTGGTTTCATGTGTTTGTGCAATAACATGATATCTTTTTTATCTCGGTATTTTACAAGTGACACTTGTCTGAAGACTCACTTAAGTTTTATCTCGTATAAACTATGTTCTTGAGGGTGATATAACATCTGACCAGGTTTCGAACAGGGACAACTGATCGAATAGTTTGCATTTTGGAATTAAGTGCCGATCAGTTACGTTGTGGCGTTGTTTAACCCGTCTAACGGAATGGCGAATGTTTTGAACAGTATGTGCACCGAAATAAAGCATAACAATTGGTGGATCTATGCTGTATACGATCAAATTCCATGTGCTGAAAAATGTTTGACTAATTCCTATCGATGGAACGCATGTATGTTGACGTACGTTGATTTGGTAAAGTATAGGTACTGGAATATATAGACAACACCAGTTATGAAGAATTACAAGAGGAGCACTTCGACAAACAACACGAATATTGCTGAGAGCACGCAGCGCTGCAACTGATGAGCTGCACAAAAATTTACAAAATAATGATAATTGATTCTATACTTTTCAACATTCATCTTTGAGATTAAGACAACACTTACCTGTCAATACAGGCTAGAGCAATGGACCGTGCATTTGGTAATCTATAGATATATACAAGGAAATAATGAACATATTTTTCATGAACGAGCCTATAGCAACAAAAAAGTAATTAGTCTGCATGCTATTAATGAATTTACATAAATGTCTACTACGTACCCTGCTTGTAATAATCTCAGGCAGGTATGTTCATAACAACAACACATATACCACTAATCGTCGAAGCCAGAAAATACCAGGTACACGGATTTGAACGAAATGGAGGACGTGTAAACACGTACACGCTTGATGCGTGACCAACACTACCCAATTCAATCATCGTATAACACCAAACTCGTATGAACATAAGAGTATTTTCCTTGATAATTGTAGCGTCTGAGATGGTTGTGTTTAACGAGATCATTTGCTAAAATTCGAACGTGATAATAAGAAGATAATGTGAAGATTTTCTCATAAAAGTGCTTATAACGAGATAAATTTGTGAAAATACTTATATTGTGCTGTGACAACTCAGTTTGATGAAAAATCCTTTTAGATAAATTAGTTCGTTTTTTCCTATAGTTCTTTTTCTTGCAAATACTTGTAATCTCATTGGTTTTATTGTTTCATAATGCTTCTACTTTATACATCTCCGAAAGGTAAAATTAATCCATAATTGTGTTTCGGAAGATCCCAATGGTATATACACTGCCCTCGTTCCTCCATAGAGTTAAAGTAAAGAAAAATAATGCTTAATCCAGCTCCGTTTTTCGAACTGACATCGCCCAATACAATTCATGTACTATGTACAAGAAATAGATTAATCCGTAAGAACGAAGTTCTTTGAAAGTCATCCAAGCCCATTCGTGGTGTTTTCTTTTTAACGTTATTTTAGATGTGTAATTAGAAATTCTACCTCTACTTAGTTCGCATGTATCTTTTATCGTTGATCAGAGTAAAGAGTGAGAAAAGCATCTTTGTCTGGAAAATGCTACAAATTCAAAGAACATCGTTTCGATAAACTATGGGTGCTTCTTTGAGCCTTAGATAAAAATTTATCAAATTATTCAATTTGATACGGAGGATTTTAAAGCGGACTAATTCAGTGTTTACATTAAACAATGCTTTATAGGGTCGTCCGACGGACATCTAGCAGCTACCAGTAATGTTTCTTGTCATATTAATAGAAAATCTCGCAGGTGTATGTTCATAACCATCAAATATTCTATGTTTTCTCATTGGATTATGTTGGTATTGCGATAAAACGGTGTGAATGAGTTGTGTCTTACGATAGGAGATACGAGTTGACGAGAAGCTATGATCTGTAATTTCATTGCGAGTATGAAACACATTCAGTAGATATTATGTCGAAGGCTAAGTAAGTCAGCCTTGACAATCATTATACATGATGAATATTAGATTTATTCTTCGGTTCAAACTGTTAAATAAAAACAGTGAGAATAGAAAGTATCTTTAGTGAATTTATTTGAGTCGTCAACGAAAAAGTTTAGAAATCTTTCGTCTATTTTCTATCGTTGCGAAAATTTTTCACGTAAGAAAGTCAGTTTTGTTCAGACAATTAAATTAAATCTTGAAATTTGCGAACTCCGTCATTCAACAACATAAAGACCTCCATTAGCATCAAATGATAAACCAGCGGGCCCGTACAATCCACAGCCGTCAGAATATCATTACGCTGGACGCCCAGTAGGATACCGAATGGACTTCGTCAGCTGATCTCGTTACCCGATACCTAATAACCAAACAGTATCTTGCGAGATGTGAGGAATTTGGTCGGACCATTTCACTGTCAGAAATCAACACCACATACTTCTGAATCATCTTGATGATCTAGGTAGAAGGAAAGGCCCAATCAGTGGCCATATCACAACATGAGAATATGGGAAAAGGATTGATACTTTGACCAAAGCCCTTTAGGCCCTTAACCCTTAAAAGCCGAAACGTCCCTTCCAAGGGACATTGCATTAATGGCTATAGAACGAAGGAATTAAGTCGTATCCACAAGAGCTACTATTTTGTCGAATGAGAACAGCCAGAGTGATAGTATCATAAGAAAAAAATCGTGTAAAAATAGTGGTCAGACACCAAAGTGTCGCTTTTAGAGCGTGTGACTTTTCAACCATAATTGGTTACTTGGATGTTTCTGTCTGATGATATATACAACGTGGATTTCGAGTGATATCATTAGAAATAATTCTAAACTATAATATAAAAGAACTTTGTGCGTTTTAAACTCTTGTACTAAGGTGTTTTGAAGGTATTAAAAAAGTGCTATTTTATGGGAACTCTTGGGCATAATCCTCGGGGTTATTCGCAAATTTTCGCTCTATAGATAATTACAGATATCTTAAAAATTCATCAGCGTGAACTTACAGTGATCCTGAACCATATAACAGGATCACCCAAGCAAAAATTTATAACGATCATACTTCACCCAGGTCATCTGGATGGAAAAATTTTTTAGCCCCACCCAGCACTTCCAACCACGGTTTGTGCATGTTGGGGGTCTAAACTCTCTATTTATGTGATTAATTCTTTCTCCATTTCACAAAATCCCTCTTCGGCTTTTAAGGGTTAAAGACGATTTTCTATCTGGCGCAGAAAAGATCAGATAAAATAACTTGGGCATCTGTATGACTTTTCGCTTCACTGATTGCTACAAGAATTAGGCAAAGGTATACAAGTGATTTTCCTGTAACAGCCCATCGAAAAAATCGGTAATGATGGATTATAAACCTCGATCTAATTTTGTTAATCATTTTGTCTGTGATTCCCTCTTCACTCAATTAAAATGGCTTTTCAAACATTTATATGAAAATGTCGTATAGGACTTTTATGGGAAGCGTGAAATTTCTGATATTATAGCTATCCATACTCATGTATGAAGTACGCACAAGCATAGATAATCATGAATCTTAGCTATAGAAGTCACAATTTAGTTAGGTCGTTTGTTACTGCAAATCCCAAAGAGAACTATACTCCTTGTATATCTCGTGATCATTTTAGAGTCAAGACCATAAGTAATCTGCTTAAAACTGGTGATCTAGTGTAATTATTTCTGTTTTAAAATTATGGTGATATACCGAAATTTAAAAATAGAAATGAGCGATCTTCGACTTTTCCTACAATATCCTGGCGCTCCGATTTGAAGACTCTGTCTCATTCAATCATATGATTTCTGTGAAGTCATACTAAAGATGCTATCAATGTCGAGAGTTTAAAATCATTTTTCACAAGTATTTCACTAAACACAAGTAGCGCTCGTTGTGCCGACTCACTTAACCCTCAACTGTGGAGAACAGATATTTTTGTCGTGTCGCAACTGCGAGACAAATCGATCTAACAGTTTTATACACGAAGAAACAATTCAAATGTTTTTTTACAAAAAAATTCAGTGTTTTGTTTTCGAAAGTTACTAAATATATCTGCGCAAAAACATTTGCATTGTTTATTCGCGTATGAAATTGTGAGATCAATCTGTCTCACGATTGCGACACAACAAAAATATCTGTTCTCCACAGTCGATGGTTAAGTGAGTCGGCACGACGAGCGCTACTTGCTATTAAGACGAAATATAATGTTACTGTCATCTGCTTTCTTGTTCGTCGTATATTGTGTTGTGATTATGCGAATAGTACCCACGTATATCGCATCAAAATATCTAATCGTTGACAAAGGAAATAAAATCCACGGTAGAGAATATTGCTTCTTAGTTTCGTGCATCACTTGTACATCACGATGAAACCTTTGACCTACATAGCCAATATGAGATGAGAGAAACTTGCTAAACACTTATTTATCGATGATTTATTGAGATGGATTAAAGCGCCTTGATATAGATGAGCACCAGAGATGATCTCTGCTGAGTGATGTCGTGTACTTTTCGTTGCATGAGTTATTTTATCTATTCACAAAAAAAGAAGATCACTCGCGAATTGAACATTATATATTTGGAAATAAAATCGTGAATTAAAAATGCCTCTTTTGGAGTTGCTCATTTGGTGGCTTTGCTGTTATACTCCGCGAAAAAGCATTCTCTAGAAACTCACCTAATATACTTTCAAAATCAAACGTGGCAAAGTTAAGTAATGGCCCAAAGTCTTCAACTGTATCTGGAATATGAAAACCGAGTGCACTACTTGTACGCAATGGCGCAATGTATACAAATCACGCAGTGTAACGACGAACGATAATGACAATTGTTGAATAATAGAAAGACGTGTTTTTAGTATAGCTCTGGACTCTACCAAATGCATAAGCGCTACGAGCTAGAATAAATGATTATAATACGTCGATCCTAGAACATCAGCAAAAATTACAAAGCCAAATAATAACAATATCCTCTTTTCATTTGCTTTAGAAGTTTTAAATTCATTGAAATGTCGTGGCAGTCGATGGTAAACGTAATTGCACAAATTGTGCTGATAAACTATTCATATAGCATTTAATACTCCAAGGTTCAGACAAATACGTTGAGTCCAACTATAACTTCAACGTTCGTTTCTATAATTAAAAAAGGATAAATAATCTTCGGTGAAGTTTCTCTTACGAAGGCATCACCATAAATATTGTGCAAACTATCGACCATAAAGGAAGATCCCACATCGAAGATGAATGAAGAACGCAAAATGCACGGCCCTGAAATTCCCTTTTCAGCCAGAACATGTTTGCTCTCGACTTCTCTCTTCTGTACTTTTGATCTGTCAACTAAACCATTGATTTGTTGTTGATGACGCGTTCTTAAATTTACTAAACTATCATGACGTGCATTTGATCGAAAGATAATTCTTTCCAAATCTATTTTACTCGCCACAAAAGACTTGACACAGCCACGATGACTATTCGCCATCTTACCTACAAAAAAATGAAGACAATCTGGAAACATCAAAGCACAACAATCTCAATTATTGGCGCTTTTGTTTGAATATAGATATAAATTCATCTAAAACTGAAACTCGGGTACATTTTGATGACAAATTAAATATAAGCGATAATCTGGTACAGACGGGATATCTTCCATTAAATACCTTCTAGTTCACATCTACCACAACCAAATGCAGCAATAGGCTCAGGTAAGTTCCGGAGAAGAGCTTGCGCGGGCTTCAGAGATGGGCGAGTCAGAGGTTTTTCCAAGTCAAGTCAAGTCCAGTTTTACCTGACTTGACTTGCCCATCTCTGATACGTCCAGCTTCAAATAAACTCATAACTAATTAGCGTATACTTCTCACTATGTTTTTAATGATTTACCAGTCCATAAATCGTTAATCTGTTTTACTACCATTTATATAATGACTTTATTCACCTTAGTGCTTTTGCATTTATATCCATCACTTTGTTCTTTCATTTCGTCATCTTTCACTTTCACCGACACCATGTACGACTTATTTTATATTTATCTTCGCA